CCTACGTCAAAACAAAACAAAAATAAGTGCTGCCTCTAAAGTCTTGCTATTATTTTTAGGTTTGTTAATATCTCTTTGTGATAAGTGTTAGGCAATTTCTTAACTTATTTTATGATTTTTTTATGTACTACGTAAAATTTTATAAATGTCATTTAAAATTGAAAATATATTGGTTCACATCGTGTTATATATGAATTACGTTGGAAAGGTTGAGTGTAAATCGAAAGTATTTACCGTTTACAATTGAAAATATACTTCCGATTTCTGAAGGAACTATATGGCGTGTTGCCTCTTCCTCTCCCATTACAGCAACTCATTCAAAATAAAACACAAAACTCTCTCAAACCTTATTTCATAAATTAAATATTTTATCAAAAAATCATCAAAAATGATCAAACAGTGGTTAAATAAAGCATTCTAACGCAATCAATCGAGAAAAATCAACACCAATAAATCTGATATGTGGTTTTTGAAATTTTTTGAGTTTATGTAATTTCTACTCAAATTAGTGAATTAAGGTTCAAACTGTGACATTGTAGCTAGTTATCATCATTATGAGTCATTAGAAAAGTGTTTTAAAGTTTATTTGATGATTAATGCCCTTATTTGAACTCATTTGGGGGACTAAGACACCAAATGAGCGTTATTCTGTTATCGCAACAAGAATCAGAATTAAAGTTCCGGTTTTGGTAAGAACAAAACTGCAAGTTTGGTTTCGGTTTCTATTTGTGTATGTTTTAAGCCTTGTTTTGCACACTGGACCTTAGGTTAACATTTCTTTCTTACTTCTACAGGAGCAATGAGTGAGAAACCATCTTGATTGAGGCTCGGCAGGGTTGCACATCATGCTTATATGCAGAGAGAAAGGAGTCAGGCAACCCAGCCTTCTCCTGCCTCTAGACATGCCATACTGGATGCACCTCCTACTGCTTCAGCCTCCGGTGCGCCTGACGACTGGAGTTACAGAGGGATATGGATGCTATGTTTGATAATTTGGAGAATCATCTTGATCCTGATGAGGCCAGGAGTACCATAGCACCAGACGACTGGAGTTACGAGTACATATACATGATATGGTTCTTCAAGGTGTCTCATCCGTACATAGTAAAGAATGCTCCAGGGAATCCACCGAGGCCAATTCATCAAGAGATTCTAGAGGAAGAGAAGGCTAGGAGGGATCACGCTCATGACGTGTTGCCCAGGTGCCATCATATCACGGAGCTTGCGCAAGATGGTATTGACAAAGGGCTGTGTCCTGATGGATCCGATGTTAGAGGTGTTTTGGATGTCATCATGGCGGAGGCTCAGGAGGCTTTGTGTTACAAGAGGCAGCATAGGGACGCCTTGAGGGTGATAGGCCGACTCATCATCTGCCATACTCAGTAGTTTATGCTGATGCATTTGTATTTTAATTTTGGTTTTTTGGTATTGTATTGTATCGTATTTGTAATTGGATTACATTTTGGTGTTGTGTATGATTCTACCATAGTGTGTGTATATATATATATATATATATATATATATATATATATATATATATATATATATATATATATATATATATATATATATATGTGTGTGTGTGTGTGTGTGTGTGTGTGTGTGTGTGTGTGTGTGTGTGTTTGCGTGTGTGTGCGCGTGTGCGCGCGTGTGTGTGTGTGTGTGTGCATGTGTGTTATATGTAGTACATTGAGTAATAATAACAATAATAGATTTTGGTTAAAATAAAAAGGTATAAATAAGAATTGAAGTTGGGCCCTAAGGTCATGGGGCGAGGTCGTTCGAAGAAATCGATGCCGCCGCCATCGCAAACCTTTAGCAAATCAATAACAACTCCGGTAAAGAATATGGAGGTAACTGATAATCCCACGAGTCAAGCAAGTTCTAGTAACACCATGAAATCTCCTTTAGGTTACTTATATGTCTATTGAAGAGGAATCCCTAAATCAACAGAGTTCAGATGAGCAGGAAGAACCAAGAAAGTTGTGGGTGGACATTCTCAATGAGAACATAAACCTTGCGAAGGGACTGGCTATGGAATACATTGCTCCATAAATCTTCAATGGTGAAATTAAGGTTGAAATTTTTGTGGAGGACATCATCTCTGAGTTCAAATTCTGAGAATCTTCGTTGATTATGTATGTGTTAGGGAGAGATCTCAGTATGAACATGGTCAAGCAATTCTTGACCAAAATCTAGAATTTTGTCAAGTTACTAGATATGTATTACAATGAAGAGGGTTATTTCATACTAATATTTAAGTCATTCAGAGATATGGACAATGTTCTGATGAAAGGTCCCTACATGATAAGAAATATGTAGATGTTGCTTCGAGAATGGCAACCTGATTTTAATCTAAACAATGGTCTTCTAAGAACACTTCCACTTTGGGTGAAGTTGCCTCAACTTCCTCTTTAACTTTTGGGGAATAACAAGTTTGAATAAGATAGGGAGTGCGTTAGGAACCCCTGTGGTGACTAATGAATGCACGACTAATAAACATCGTGTTTCTTATGCTAGAATATTGGTGGAGATAAACATAACCAAAGAGCTTCCGAAAGAGATTGTTATCAGGGTGGTGAAAAGATGGTGCAGGCGGTGGAATATGAATGGAAACCTTTATTGTGTCGAAAATGTCAAAAGCCATATCATAACTGTGAGAAAACTAAACCAAAAGAGAAAGAATGGATTCCAAAACCCCCAACTGAAGCAGGTAGTAGCAAGGCTCAGGAAACAAAACAAACTCATCTGGAAAAACAACTCGAAAAAGTCATAGTTAAACCTCAAACTGTAAATACCCCTGAAACGAAGAAGGAGATTTGGAATAAGGTGCACACAAGTGGCAAAGGTCGTGGTATGGCTATTGTCCAAGACAATAACACAAGCAATCTTGTTTATGGAAATGGATTTGATGCTCTAGGGATTTTGAATGATCTTCTAGAGCTTCAAAATACTGGTCAATAATTGTAGCTTGGAATATTATGGGGTTAAATAAATCTACTAAGATTAAGGAGATTAGCTCCCATCTCCATTCTCTTAGGTATGATATTAACATTATGATAGAGACTAGAGTTAAATCCAGTAAAACTATCAATGTTATAAATAAGTTGAATTTGGGTGGCAACTATGCAGATAATTATCCCTATCATGAAAATAGTAGAATATGGGTCCAATGGAATAACAAGAGAATTGATATCAAGGTTATCGGTTGTACTATTCAGAGGGTGCACTATGCTGTGAACGATATAAATGGAAATTTCAAGTTTTGGATGATTGTTGTGTATGCTTTGAATAAACTTGAGAAGAGGAAAAGTATTTGGAAAGATCTGACTAACTTACAAGTTCATGGTCCTTGGCGCATTCTTGGTGACTTCAATGATGTCCTCAAGTCCCAAGATAGGTTTGAGGGGGAAAATGGTTACTGAGTATGAGTATATTGACTTGCGATAGATGATGGATAAAAAACAGCTCTATGAAATGGATAACATAGGTGACATTTTCACTTGGTTGAACAAGCATCAAATTAGTACTATATATTGTAGAATTGACAGGTTGCTAGGGAATGCATAGTGGTTCCAAAACCACTTGAATATAACTCTTAACGTCCTCCCCCCTTACATTTCTAATCATGCTTTGCTCTTTGTTTCTAATAAGAACTTATGTACCAGCAATCCCTGTAGGTTTAAGTTCATAAATTGCGTGTCTAAGGTGGAAGGGTTCCATGAGACAATTAAGAATAGTTGGGAGTCTCAAATTGAGGGTAGACCCATGTTTTTTCTTTGGCAGAAGCTGAAAAGGCTTCAACCTATCCTCCACAAGTTGCACTCTCCTTTGATGCAAGCTAAGAAAAATATAATCACTTCTAGAGATAACCTTGATAAGGCTCAATCTGCTTTACAATGTGAAAAAAATGAACAATACTTTAATTGATAAGGTTAAAATTTATACTGATGAGCTCATTCACTGGAATGTAATAGATGAAGAAATTATGAAGCAAATATCCAAAATAAACTGGCTGAAGATGGGGGATGAGAATAATGCATTTTTTCATGCTTTAGTTAAAGTTAATCACAACTATAATAGTATGAAAGTGCTGGTAAAAGAGGACGAATCTTGTATTATCTCTCTTACTGAGATTGAAGAAGAAATTTTGAAGTATTATGAAGGTCTGAATGGGAAAAAAGGAGTCCAAGATAACTTGTATTGATGTGCCAGTTTTGAGAAGTGGGAACCAATTAAATAATGCCCAAAGAACTTTATTGGCGAGTCTTGTCAGTGATATAGAAATTTTTGAGACCTTGAAGGATAACAATGACCTGTCTGCCCCTGGCTGTGATGGTTACAACTCCTTCTTTTTTAAATGTACTTGGTATATTATTAAAACTGATCTGGCTGATGCAGTCTATGAATTTTTCAATAGATCTAGCTTGTTGAAAGCCTTCAATTGTGTTGTTATCTCTCTCATTCCCAAAAGTACAACTGATAAGAACATTAGGGACTTCATGCCTATTGTTGTGTGTTCTACTGTGTATAAAATTATCTCTAAGATAATGACTAAAAGGCTTGGTAAGGTCATTGGGAGTATTGTGAGTCCTAATCAAGCTTCCTTTATTCTTGGCCAGCAAATCCCCAACCATGTCCTCATTTCTTATGAGTTAATTAAAGGATACTTTAGACATGGAGGAACCCATAGGTGCATGATTCAACTGAATATGCGGAAAGTTTACGATATGGTGGACTGGACAACTTTAGAGAGAATATTGCAATAAGTTTATATCCCTAATAAATTCATTGAATAGATTATGGTTTATGTCACCTCTGTGACCTACAAGTTCAGCATAAATAGTTCTTTTTCCAAGAGTTTACAGGCTAAAAGATGTATTAGGCAAGGGGACCTCATTTCCCCTTACCTTTTTACCATTATCATAGAATACTAGCAAAGATGTCTGCATCAAATACAGTCGAATCCCAACTTTAACCACCGTGCTAAGTGTGAGAAGATGCTCCTAACCAACTCGGTGTTTACTGATGATATTCTTATGTTCTCTAGAGAAGACTTGGGCTCAGTTGACCTTATGATGCAAGCTTTCAACAAATTCGCTAATTCTACTGGTGTATGTATAAATCCTAATAAAAGTAGAATTTATTTTGGAGCAGTGGATAAAGATACTAAAGAGAGCATTTGTACTTTAACTACCTATATTGAAGGTAGCCTACCCTTTAGATATTTAGGGGTTCCTCTCACCTTTAAAAAGTAACCTGTGCACCATTACATGATGCTCATTGAAAAAATTATCAATAAAACCAAACATTAGTCTTCCCACTCATTAAGTTTTATAGGTAGACTGTAACTTTTCAAAAGTATCTCCTTTTCTATCTCTAACTACTGACTGACTTATTTTCCATTGCCAAAAATTGTTGTTAAAAAAATTGAGGCTATTTGTCATTCTTTTCTTTGAACTGGCAAAGAAATAATTAGTAGGAAGAGCCCTGTCTCTTGGTAGCAAGTTTGTAGGCCAACAAAGCAGGGTGGCTTGGGGGTCATTGATCTATTTGGTTGGAATAAGATTCCTCTTTTGAATTCGCTTTGGAATTTGTGCAGTAAGAGAGACAACTTGTGGGTTAGATGGATCCACATCTACTATATGAAAAACCAGAACATAATGGAGGCTAAGGTTAAATTTGACGACACTTGGATCATGAAGCATATTCTCCACCAAAGAGACATGATTGGTAATATTCAATAAGTTTGGGATAATATGAGTAATCAAGGCAAATTCAAGATGAAAGATGTGTATAACCTGCTAATCAAAGACACTGCTACTGTCTGGCATAATATTATGTTCAACAATCCTGCTAGACCTCGAGCTACAATGATTATGCGGATGGCTTGTCACAGGAAACTTGCCACCAAAGAAAGATTGTATAGGTTTGGTCTTTTGGATAATGCTTATTGTTGTTTTTGTTCAAAAGATGAATCGATTGATCTTTTTTTTTTTAATGTGGTGAGATGAAGGATATTTGGGTTGAAGTGCTTAAATGGATCCAAGTTAGCCATAGTCGAAAGCACTGGAAAGAAGAACTTAAGTGGATTCTAATGCATAGTAGAGGTAAGGGATGGGGGTCTATCATGCTGAAGCTTGCAGCAACTGAAGATATATATGGGGCCTGAAGGTATCGAAATGATTGTTGCTTTGGGAATGCTTTAATAAGAATAAATTATTGATAATATTATTTACAGGGGTTGATTTAATCTCAAACTTAGAAATCATATTGTTAATCTTATGATGTAATTGGTCTTAGTTTTTAATTTTTTGTGGACTGGATCGTTTGCGATCGCTTTATAATCTTGATTTTTTTAATATATCAATTTTGCTCTATTAAAAAAAAGGTATAAATGAAAAAAAAGTTTTTTGAGCCAAAAAAAAGAAAATTGTAAGTTAAAAGCTACTTCAAATAATTTAAAAAGAAGAAATAAAAAACTATCAAGAAAAAAATTACAAACTAAAACTAAAAAATATTGACCGTTTTGTAATCAATGTGAACTAAAACTGTTTTTTTTCTTATCAAAGAGTCTTTGTGTTCTTGAATATTTGAATATGTAAATATAAATGAGAGAAATATTTGTAGGAAAAAAAAGAGCATTTTCCCTCTAAAACGCTTTCCTTTATCATGTAATTTTTTTTATAAAAATAAATATATACGTGGCCAATAAAAAGACAGCCTTTTTCATTAAAATAGTTGTTAATTTTAACTTCATTTTTTATTAAAAAAAATCTTTATATTCATATTTGCTTGGAAATTAATTAAATATATTTATGATATTTATTTTGAAAGGTGTTGTCATTTTTAAGAGCACATTTGTAAAATTCCTTTTAAAAGGGATAATAACTTTTGGTAATTAATTTTTAGCATATTTATCGAAATTTTTATATGAAATATTATAAATTATTTTAAAAAAATAATATTTTATTTTCAACAAATATTAATAAATTCTTTTTCAAAACAACATCCCTTAACCTCTATTTTCTAAAAACCGTTTTTAAAAGCATGCTCTTAAATCTCAAAATTAGCATAACAAAGCCCTCTCATTCATTACCACATTTGGATTTCTTATTTTAAAAAGATTTTAGAGATTAAATCGAAGGAGATTTTTGAAGAAATTAGATCATTTTTGAATTTAATTTATGTTGTTATAATATTTTAAAATTTAAAATATATTAATAATAAAAAATAGTTTATTATTTTATACAAAATTAATTTTTTTTTAAAACATCTCTAATTTTTCTTCTCTATTTCTCTTTCTAAAACCCTCCCCTTTTTTCCCTCTACGTAAACTTGCAAAGACAACCTTAAGAAATAGATAGCACTATTTTAAGAGAGACAAACACAAAAATAAAATAGTGGCTAGTAGTTTCTATTCTTTGTATCTATCATTTTCTAAGTAAAATCTTCCATTTCTTTTAAAAAATAAGAATGTCCTAAACATTAATATCGATATATAGTTCAACCACCTAATGATGGAAAGCAGAGAGCGATACAGGAAACAAAAATCTTAAAATATATATTGCATGCTGCCATTTGTCACAGTTCAAGAAAGTAGAAAATAAAAATCCCACCAAAAGATCGATTGTCGATTTGTAGGAAGATGAATATTTCATATCTTTTTGGTAGGTTAGGATAGTGGGTGTTTGTGGTACTTGTTGTTCTTAAAAGAAAATGTTCTATTTGTCAAAACAAAATAAAGAGGACGTTTGTTTCGGAGTTAAAATTTATTTTTAGAATTAATTACTTATAAAGATAAAGATAAAGATAAAAAATTTATTTTAATGAAATTTTTTAAAAATCTGTTTAACAAATATTTAGATATTCCTAAAAAAATTATGATTTGAATTAATTTTTTAAGAAAAATTTATAAAATTTTATTGAAATTTACATTTGCACTCTTTTATATGAAAATAATTTCATGAAAATATGAGAAATTATTATTTTTTCTTTGTAAAATCTTTATTTTCAAAAATAATTATTTTTAATTTTGAAACAAATATGAATATATTCATTTCTTATTCATGTATTTTCAAAAATTTTATTTCAAAATTTGAACTAGGCGGCTCAACTAGTTTAGAGGTATAAGGTAAATTTTAAAATGAAACTTTTAAAATATATTTTAAAATAATAATTTTAAGAGTTTAACTCAAAACCAAAAAGTGAAGAAGTTTAGATTTTACCAATTCAACAACAATAATATATGCCATTAATGTATCATTATATATTTTTATAATTAAATAAAAATATTTTAAGACCTTTTTTTAATCTGAAATTTTGAGGTCTAAAGCCCTAGTCTAGATTATTTGGTCCTTGGGCCGGCCCTAAATTTGAAACAAACACCTTCAAAAAGTTACAAAAAAAAATTAGAGAATTTCTTATGACACCCTATATAATGGAAAAATACCCTATGTAAAATCAAAAGTATCCTCCAGAAATGCATTTCAGGGGCATATCCTACCCTCATCAAGTTAGGCAAATTTCGTTACACCTATGTTTAATGTAATAAAAAAAAAAAAATTACCACCTATAAATCGAATATACATTTTCGATTTATTCTGAAAAATCAAAAGCTTAAAACAACATTGTCCATGGGGTATTGATCATGCTCATTTCAAAAGGTGACCAAAATACTCCCCCAAACCCCTCACATTCTCATTACCATTTTTCACTCAAAATCATCATTCTTGTGGTGCATTATATCAAAAGGAGTTAAAGGAAACTGAATTTAAGGTAAAACTTCCTCTTTTCAATCTACATTAACCGAATATTTTTTAACACTAACTATGTTTTTATAAAAAAACATAAATAACCATGTTTAGAGAAAATTATGCAAATAATCATGTTACCGGAAAAAATTACGCAAATAACCATATTTCCAAAAAAAAATGAATCAAAGAGGAGGCACCACTTGAATTGACGCCTCCTATATATTTTTCAAACTTTTCAGTTATTCGCGGACTTTCCTGGAGATTTAACATTACCTGCGGACTTACCTACGATTTTCCTATGGAATTACCTACGGGAAAATAGTCTGTAGGTAAATCTGCAGGATAAGTCAAATCTGTAGGTATATCCGCAGGTAATTGAAAAAGTTTGAATATATAAGAGGCGTTATCTCACTCGGCGCCTTCTTTAAAAAAAATTAATGCATACGCCATCTGAGATGGCTACTGCATTATAACGTTTTTTGAAACATGGTCATTTGCATAAATTTCTCCGAAACATGGTTACTTATGTATTTTTTTTCAAAACATGATTATTGCTAAAAAAATTCACATTAACCACATTAATCTGATCTTTCTGTGGAAAAAATGTCACGTTAATATCGAAAATATATTTTCGATTTATCTTAACCGGAAATGTACTTCTGGTTCTTGTAACAGCTATTTCCAGCAACTTCAATTTTCTTATTTGCCTAGGATATTTCTTAGTTTAATCTGTTTTTACATGTTAGGTATGGTACATCCCGATAGTATTCCTAAAGCTAATGTGTCTCAAAGTGTTTCGCCTAATGTGTCTCAAGGTGTCTTGTCTATTCTTTTCCAAGGTGTTTCTCATATTGTGTCTCAAGGTGTTTTGTCTATTGTTGTTTCGTCTATTATTATCAAGGTGGTCGATGTGCGAAAGAATTTTACAAAATGAACAAGAATATGAATCTCGAGATGTCATGGTGCAATAGATTCATACGGAGGCCACCAAACAAGGCTTTGGTGTTGTGATAGGAAGGTCCATAGTAGTTTAGATAGACAACCTGCATTTATGACATTGACATGCGAAAGAAGTGGGATATATAGGCATCATATCAAGAATTTCAAAAGAGATGATACTGGTTCAAGAAAATGCCAGTGTCCATTTAAGTTACGTGGGAATCAGTTGGCAAATAATAATTGGAGGTTCAATGTCATATGTGGTTTACGTAATCATGATTTAAGTGCAAAGTTAGCTGATCATACAAGTGCATGTTGTTTCTTGGTGGAAGAGAAGGAATGTGTGTCCGACATGACACTAAATTTGGTCGCTCCAAAAAATATACTTGGCACGTTGAAGCACAAAATATCTGAGAATATTTCAAACACCAGACAAGTTTACAATCAGCGCTGCCAAACAAATTTGGCGCTTAGAGGGGATCGAACCAAAATGCAACAACTCTTGAAGCTTTTAGATGATAAAAACTACGTTTGTAGGCACTGAAGATGTGAGGATGGAGTAACGGTAAGAGATATATATTAGACTCATATTGATTTCATTAAATTGTTCAATATGTTTCCTACCGTGCTTATAATTGATTCGACATACAAGACCAACAGGTACAGGTTGCCATTGTTGGAAATTGTCGGTGTTACGTTGACTAAAATGACATATTCCATTGGTTTTGCATTTCTAGAGTGCGAAAAAGAGGACAATTTTGCATGGACTTTAGCGGTTTTTCGATCATTATTAAAGGATTAAGAAAACATGTTGAAAATCATTATTACCGATCGCAATACAACACTGATGAATTTTGTTGCGAAGGTGTTTCTGAGTTCTTCTGCATTACTTTGTAAGTATCACATTACTAAAAATGTGAGATGTCGGGTTAACCCCACGGTAGGGACAGGTCAGATTGAGATTGAAGAGGATAAAATAGTTAAGTCGGGCGTTGTTATGGAGAAAATTATGGCTTCTTGGAATGTTATCATAAATGCATCTACCAAATATTTATATGTTGATGTTGTTATACATTTCAGGAAGGTGTGCGCTAAATATCTCTGTGATACGGTGGGAGAATTGACTTGGGATTTTGTGTTTGTTTTCGCACTTGTTCGGTTTAGCAAGAGTCGCCACCGACTTTTTATTTTATCCTAAGTAAAGGTCAAAAAGCACAGGAAAGACCTTTGAGATGTTTTCTTGGGTTCGGGGGGTAGATTATGAAAAGGGAAGGTGCTAGCACCCTTTTCATCCATGGTTATCCATGGGCTCTTAGTTACTTATTTTAGATCACTTTCCTTTGCTTTTCAATTGTTTGAAATGGTGCTTTGTGTGTGTGGTTTTGAAAATGTTTTAAAAAAAA